ACCATAGCATCGGTGTCTCCATTGCAACGCCGTGCCAGTGGAAGCACACCTTGTTTGATAACAGCAGAATTAGGAGGATTAACCGCGTGAGGATCAATCACGTACCCGAGAAAGCTGAAGCAGGTATTTCTTAGCCAGCCTATTAATCTCTTTGGTCGGTGCAATGTTGTTTGACAGTACACGCTCTCCAGGAGGATCGCACATCCCAAAAATTTCTGCCAATAATTCGGGAGGGAGGCGACGGATGGGAGAAAATGCGCTGCGGCATCCATCGCTGTACGATTGGAGCTTGGCGCGATCCGACATCAACACTGACAGCCTTTGCTGCAGTCTCTCGATTTCGGTGTCATATCGTTCGAGCGCGAGCGATGCTCCGCCAACGACACCCAAGAAACTGGATTTCTCCAGTGGCAAAGTGTTGGAGCGCAAGATGTCGCGTAGTTCGCTGATTTGCGATGCATTGGGAAGTAGCGGCGAGTCCTTAAAGGGAGGTTTGCCGCAAGCATCGCAGGCAGTTGGGCCAGAGTTCGACTGCATGGAAGTGGGAAGAGAAAGGCAACTGGCACGTGCCGTCAAGCAGGAGCAAAGAGTCCAAATTAGGACAGCCGAACTTCGGCTGAATGGACATGGGTTACCAATGGTTCCAGTTTCGAACGTCCATTGGCCATGCTATTCAGAAGCCCGTATTAAAAATCTGGGGTTTCCCCAGGGAAAACTCCGATCCTGCCACGTATTCGGCCTGCCACAGAGTTGATTATTGCAAGAAGAAAGTTGGGCTTCCAGGAAATGGAATACAGTACATCGCATTCGTGCGAGGAGGGCATGCCTACTATGAACTCGGAGGTCAAAACATAGATTTTGCCGCAATTATCCGGCTTTGCTTGTGCTGCCAAAAACAGTTGCAAGAACAGTTGCAAGAGCTTACATCAACTCAGCGAAATCGGATTTTTTCTGCCGCTACTTAGGGACGATGCTTTTTTCAGATCGAAGAGTTTAGTGAGCCACTTCAGACAGATGTAGAATCCAATTCGGGCCCCTTCGACTGTAGTATCCTTTTCGTCGCAACTTGTTCGTAAAGACTTCAAATATTTCCGGTAATCACGGCGATCAAAGAATTTTGAGCGCTTAACTGCTCTCCTCAAACCACCACCACCCTTACGCAGACTCAATTTAACCGGGTGAGCGCGAAATGGTTCCCGATCTTTCTCGGCTAAGCTAGTCCTCGTAGCATCTTCCTTGGCGATAACGACTCAGCATGTCGGCGAAAAGCCTTCGCGCACGCATTGCCGAGATCGCGGCGGAGATTGCTCTGCAGAAAAAGCTGTTGACCCAGTTGGAACACGACAAGAGCCAGGTTCAGCGTCAGCTCAACGCCGTCCTCGATCCAATGGCACGCCTGCCCGTCGAACTATCGTCCGAGATCTTTCTTCAATCTCTCCCTTCCCTTCCAGAGCCCGGCGCACCCCAGCCCCTGCTGCTTCTGAATATCTGCCATGCGTGGACCGACATCGCGCTATTCACGCCTGCCATTTGGGCGGACATTCATATCCCTTCTCCCTGTACAGTAGGCTTCACCGCAGTCTTACCCATCTGGTTTCGTCGTGCGCGTACTCGCCCTCTGTCCATATTTCTTCGCCTTCGACGAACCGAAATCGACCCCGACGTCGCCGCCATTATTTGGGGACACAGCCAGCAGCTGAAGCATCTGGAAATATGCTGCTGCAAGGATGAGGATGGAGAAGACACTGACAGCGACGACGACGAGATAATCGACTTCTTCGGAGGCCAAACTCCAGGCCAGCTAGCGCTCCTTACAACGCTCTCGATAACCAATGTGGGCTTTGAAGTGGTGTGTTGCTCCGATCACGAAATCTTACAGCTGCTATGTCTTGCACCAAATCTTGTCGAATTCGTCTTTGAAAGTATTCATGTCCTCGACGGCATTCCCCTGTCTGCCGAGGAGGTGGTGGTTCTTCCGAGTTTGCGTCGGTTCATGTTCGGAAGCAGCACGCAATGTCCTGTCAACCTCGACGGGATTCTAAAACATCTTTCCCTTCCCGCGCTCGAAGCCATGGTCCTTCCCTTCACTTCTGTATTAAGCAACGATTTCTTGGCCTTCTTGAGGCGTTCCTCGCCCCCTCTCCAAGAGATTATCCTGGGAGATCCCCTCAAGTTCATTTGTTTGCCAGAAACTCTCCGTCTTATACCTACCCTCGCACGCCTCGAAATGTGGGGGACAACCTCCCGTGTTATCCTGGAATTATCCATTGTGTTGACCAATCCCCCGTTGTTGCTCCCAAACCTACACACTCTCGTCCTCCACCTCAACTACTCGTTCCATTTGCCCCCAATTCCGTATTCTTCTTGGGCGGGACTCCTCCGCATGCTCTCGACTCGTCGCATGAGCCTCCGAACCTTCCACGTCCATCTGTCGGGGTCCCCGAAGCCTCCAGCGGATATCCTCGAGGCATTCACAGAGCTGGAAGCGAATGGGATGCAGATATACATCCAATACTGAATACGACTGACCGATGTCGTGTCCCATTATCCCCTCGAGTTCCGTTGACGGCCATATGTACGACATACCGGTCAAATGTACTCTAGGCGCAGCATTGAAATTACTCCGAGTTGTACTAGTCTAGATCTACAGGGCTTTCCCAACTAAATGATGCGTCGAGCTGAAGTCAAGCTGGGCAGCTTCTCTCCCCCGAGCATTGTTTCAATGGGCTTCAGTAGTAGCAAGTAGACAAATGATGAATATCTGTGCGGCCAACCAGGACATGTATTAGTACACATTCAAGAATAGTCAGTATTCAAACAGTATTCAAACAGTCGTGTGTGTCGGTAAAGTTAAATCCATTCTCCATGCAACGCCTCAGGAATCTCATCGCCACCCCATAATTCTCTGAAGATTTCGTCAGCGCTCAGATCCTCGTCTTTTTCGCCCGCCTCGGCCAGCGCTGTCGGAACACACCCAGTCAGTGGACAACATCAAGCACCGAATGGAATAGACTCACCCTCACCGCGCCCCTCGCCTAAGCTTTCCTCCAGCCCCGATTCGCCTCCTCGAACAGCAATGAGAAGCAGCTCGACACCGGTGTAGTCGAGCATCTGCGGCTGCGAACACGGCGCAAAACGAAGCCCCGTCGGATCCCGACCGTGCGTTCCCTTCCCAAACACGCCCTCCATAATAGCAGGCGGATAATCGATGTGCTTCGTCGTCAATGAGCCGGACGCCTGCGGATTTTTGACCTGTAGGACGAAGGCTTCGGCCTGCTGGATGCCGAGGGCCTCTTGAACGGGCCCGAAGTCGGACGGCGCGGGGTGCGAGAGGTGGTACCCAAGATATGTGGTTTCTTTTGAGCGTGTAGGGGCTTCGTTGTTCACGATGGCGTAGCAGCCGCGCGCGGCCAAGCGCGCAGGAGGGTCGTGGCGCGTGCCTGAGGACAGAGTTGTATGTTCAATACATGTTCGATTCATCTCGAATGCCTCGATAACATGAGGAACTTACCGCGCGTCTTGGTTTCGTACGTCTTCTCGCCCATCCCCTTCTCCAATACTTCAAGATCGTCGCCTACGGCGGTGACCGTCGCCCAGAAACTCTCTTTGCGACCACCGTGGTGCGCATCGGGATCCGGGAGTTTCTTCTTTCCGAGAGTAACAAGGCGGTAGTGCTTCCCCAGCGTATCCAGCTCCGCTGCGGCAGGTACAGCATCGGCCCCCGCTTCCAGCACCTGCATGTCCTTGGAATCGTCGGTATCGCCCGATGCTGGCGTGTCCTCCGCTGCACCGAACTTTGGCGGGCTCGGAACGAGGAGCATGTGCAGGTTCTTCACGTCGTCAAGGGATGACGGCTCGTCGGTTTCGACTCGGGGACGGAAGAAGAAGTAGATATGCCCCCGCTCGGTCGTTCCTGTACAACATAGTAAATCAACCCGTTGGCAGGCCAAATAGCGGGCACCGTGAATACTTACCAGGTACACGTCCGTTTTCTCCATCTCTACGCATAACCTCCTCCGCAGGTGTCTCAATCTTCACCTTTTTAGTCGGCGGTTCGGAGTCCTCGGTCTCTTCGTCGACTTCTGCCTCCTCGGAATCGTCTGGGGTTGGTTTCATGTTGGAGTGTCTTGGAGCGGCGCGTTTTGACAAATTGTCGGGGGCCTGCGCGGCTTCTGCCCTCTCTGCTTGCAAGGCCTCTTGTTTGCGGGTGGTGACCATAGTGGTTGAGTTTGAGTCTGGTTGCCGCTGACGTCATCGCTGATCGAACTAAGTAGTTCAACTCCACATGTCGGCAACGTCTGGATGAATCGGTGCCGGTCTAGATGACGGGCTGCGACGGTGGGATGGCATGATGCAGCAGCCATTGGATGAGGAGGAGGAGACAGGAGGCAAGTCAATAACTCAATTATTGTGTGCAGGATTTTCGACCGGATATGTACGTCTCTGCGGTGTCTTTTTTCTTTTTTGTTCTGTCGTTTGGATCTTCCTTGGGTTTGTGTATCTTGGACGATCGAGAATCGAAACTGTTGCCGCTTCCGCGACTCAACCGTGATGATCGAGCTCCTCGATCATTTGTGCTCCAAAGCAGCGTGGGTTCGAATCCTACCGAAAGCATAGTGATGGAAGTCTTCCTTTTCCTGTTCTCTCGCGGGTTCGCTGTTTCTCAGAAGTTCTCGTTGGTTCACTCTTCGGAGGAGGAGAAGGGGTGTCCTTTTATAATAAAACATAAGGATATTCAGGTGGGCGAATTTTGTGTGCCCTTGGTCTGACCATGTAGCGGCTCAGTTCAATATTTTCTTAAGGATCTTCGTCTTCGATTTTCTCGAGGCAGCCTGGGCCCGGGTTCGAATCCCACCAGAGGCGTATACATGTGGCTGCGGAACCTTTTCCTGTTCTCTCGCGGGTTCAATGCAATATTAATTACCTGCGAAGGTTAGTCTATGATTCTTCTTTGGATCTTCTTTAGGTTGCTTGATTTTGACGAGGAATTATAATGTGTCCCTTCCGTGGCTCAGTGGGGAGCAACTGGACATCGTGAACCTTGTGTTTGTTTTCCAGGCGGCGTGGGTTCGACTCCCACCGGAAGCATGGCGAGTGCTAGCAAAAGTCCTTTTTTGGGCCTTGGGCTTTGTTCGTGGTTCTCCTTTCCACAGTTTTGGCCGCGTACGGCTTACGATCCAAATTTCAGGCTTGGCGTGGTATGCGACAAATGAGGGGAAGGGTTGTACGCCGGGTCCTTATTGCATTTATTTTGAGAATGGCCGGAACATCAGTAAAACAACGCATTTTGCTTTGGCGTCTTTGTCTTTGAGACGCGTCTTTCGGGGTCTTTGTCTTTGGCAAAACATCTTTGGTCTTTGGCTCGGAGTCTTTGGAGTGCTTTGTCTTTGGGAAAAACATCTTAGTCTTTGGCGATGATCTTTTCTGTCTTCTACTCCATCCACAGTTTTTCACTACTTTTTCACTCACAGTGAGATTCGGACGGAGTCCAGACATTCAGCATTCCCAGTGCCAAAATACTTGGTGTCGTCCATAGTGAGCGCGGAGGTTCTTTTAGTTTTGCATGAGTTCGCAAATTGTTATTCAGAACCTCGTTCAACCTTGTCCCGCATTTGGTATTCATTTTCTCGATCAATTGAGATGGAAGCCGTGATGTGGAATTTTCATGGTGTGGAGAAAGTCGAAAGTCGATCGACAGCATGAAGAAAAACAACCAAGTCTTTAAAACTCCGCTTCGGATCAGCGAGGATCGGCGGGGATCATTCCGATCTCGTGTTGTCAAGGCACGAATGGCGTGATTGATCGCAACAAATGGTTGCTGCTCTTGACGTCCAACCACTTTCCCCCTCTTCTCCTCCCCCCACGTCGTCCCTCCCTTTGCGCTCTCATCGTCACTCCCAAGCTTCTGCATTCTGCGCCATCCACGCGGCGTGCCTTCAAGCCCCTTCAAACTCCCCTGCCAACCTAAGCCTATCCTCGCACCAAGCAGAAGTCGTGCTCGACGACCGCCGTGGAGTCACTTCGTCACCACCTCCCCTTCCTATGTCCCCCTTCACATACTCACAGTCAAACCCGATGGTCTTCCTTTGTTTACTCCGATACGTCTCGCAAACAAGACTCAAGGATTCAAGTTTGTGATCAAGAATTGTCGCTCAAGCTTCAAGTTATCGTCAAGCCTCTTCATGGCTTTACTCCTTCAGACTTCAAGTCTTCAAGGATTTCCTCCCCCGTGCATACCCTCAAACTTATCGTCTTGCTGCTTGCAGTCGTCATGTTGATACGTTGATAGTGTTTGGGGACGAGGGTTTAATGGTACGTGATCGTCTTCTTGCTTTGTCTAGGTGTTAACTTCCTCTCCAGACGCAGTCGCTGGGCAAATGGGAGGCTAGCGTTGGGCGCATCGGACGACTTACCTCGCCGAAGACAATCCTCGACCGGCTACATGCATATGGTGTCCGACCGTCCCCCAAACGTAACACTGCACTCCGTCTTGTTCGTGTGTACCTGTACTTGTAATTTCTGACTGAAATAATATATATCTTTTGCGCTATTTCGCGTCTTTCTGGGTTTCTTTGAGCATCTCTATTTGTCTTTGGCGGCGTCTTATCAAAGACATGCCGCGTCTTAGGCGTCTTTCCAAAGACTAAAGTCTTGGCTAAGAAAATGGACCCTACTTAGCCAAAGACTTCCGTCTTTGGTGAAAACACGTCTTTGGCGTCTTTGACGTCTTTCCAAAGACGCTAAAGACGCCAAAGCAAAACATGTACTTTTACTGATGAAGGGAAGAAATTTAGACACGGTGACGCGAGAGCTGGACGCCGTATGCGTTCCTTACAAGGTCCGTGATGGATGGTGATCAGTGCTCCACTGAATATATTCGAGGTACGGATCTGTATCACGGAGCCGAGGGAGGCCGAGATAAGCTCGCTTGAAGTTGCTCTCCTTGTTTTCAAGACGCATTAGAGCTTATTAGGTGCCTACTGCTAATCGATTTCGTGGGGCCTTGGTTTGATTTCGGACTGAAAATTCAAGTTTGTGGAGCTCCTGCGCAAACTTGAATTAGCGTGCCCCGGGCTACCGCGTTTGCCCAACTCATACCACCTCAACACCGGCGGATGTGCTGGCAGCTCGGAACAAACTCGAACTCAGCCCTATAGCCCCTCCTAGCTCACGACGCTCGGATTCGGCGCTCCAAGGGTCGTTGTGGTCTCACCAAATCCGGTCGGCAAGCTCGGCCACTTCGATTAATCAAAAGATCTTCGACTCAAGGAATTATTTTCTTCGACTTACAAGTGAATTTCCCGGGGGCACCTAATAAGCTCTATTCTTGAAAGAGGGTTTGGACCAGGAGAGAGAGGAGAGGCAGGACCGACAGGAACGACTGGACACGCGACGGCGGCAAGGCGGCGGCCGCGAGAAGATGGAAGACGGAAAAAGGAAGGGGCGCGCAAAACGCCGGGTCCGATCACGGATCGCGGAGGCTTGATAGTCGGCGGGCTGGACGGCGTTCCAGTCGGAGGTTGTTAGAACGCCTTTCGCGAGCGGGAAGAGCGACCGGCTCCGCAAGCGAGCGAGGGAATTGCGAGAATTTGAAGAAGGAAGAAGGTCCAAGGAGCAAGCGACGGAAGAGAATTTTGGAAGGCGGAGGACAGGTGGATTGGTTTGGAAGGTTTGGAAATTTGAAGGGAAAGAAAAGAAGATGGGAGAGGATCATGAGGGAGAGAAGAAGACGGGGAATGGAGATGGTTGATGTGGAATGCAGAGATGTAGACGGAGACGGAGCGGGGAGTGCCACGCAACGATGGATGGGTCCGATCAATGTCAGTGCCAGTGGGCGTCGTAACAAGATTTTCGTGGCAAACGCAAGCCTCTGAACTACACCCTAGATATTGCAGTGAAATGAAAAGCCTGAATGTAATGCTGCATTTATGAAAAGGATGGATGGAAGAGTGGGTCCGTGCGCATCATGATTTGGGATACGAATACGGGGTTCCCCTTGACGTGTCCCTGTAGACGCCTCTCCGTTCGTTGATCCTCTATTATTCCCCTTCCTTCCCCTCGTCTCTGTGCGTGTCTTTATTTTGCACACCCCACCACACTCGTTTCAAGACATATACACACCCCCGCACCACACTCGCTGATTCTAACGTATCTTCCCTCCTTGCCTTGTCTTTTCTCCCCTTTTAAATACACCTGCGGATAAATACGGCGATGGACGACAGTGGAGGATTTGCAGCAGCAGCAGCGCCGTACCCGCCGTACTCGTTCACGGGTATCGACATGTCAAAGGTGCGCAATCTATATACCCCGTTGCCATGTGTGATATTGCTCTGCTGACCCGCTTCCCCTTTCTCTCTTCCTTTCCCTCTTCCCCCTCCGCGCTTTTTCGCCTTTCCCGTTCCGCCTTTCTTCGTTCACCCTTCGCCTTCGCCTTTTCGTCGCTTTTTCTTGCCCCAGCGCTCGATGGACGCACCCGGCGGCCCCGACTCCAAAAAGGCGCGCTGGTCCCCTACTCAGGGCCAGCAGCAAGCCCAGCAGGGCGCCTCCCCGCGCGACGTCTACGCCAACTACGGCTACGGCGGCAGCGTCTCCGCCAGCCCGCAGATCTACGCCACGCCCCAGCTCAGCATCAACACCCAGCAGACCGCCCCGCCGCAGCACCAGCATCAGCTCAGCCCGAATACGCTTGCGAGCTTCCAGCAGCAGCAGGCGCAACAACAGGCTCAACAGCAGCAACAGCAGGCTCAGCAGCAGCAGCAGCAGCAGCAGCAGGCGCAGCAGAGCCCGGTGGCGGGGAGCCCGTATACGCAGTTTAACCCGTACAGCCAGATGTTGGCCATGGGCGGGTTTGGGTACCCGCAGCAGCAGGGGTTCCAGGTGCGTTTTTCTTTTCTTCCCTTTGCCCCCTCCCTGCTCCTTTCCCTACATCGCGCCTCGCCGTTTGCCACGTTTTTTCCTCTTCTGATGCTAAATATGATGATGATGCTTAACTTTTCCTTTTCCTTTAGGCAGGCGGCTTCTCCCCCCAACGCCTCCCCACGCTCAACATCCCCGCCGCGCAAGCCGCCGTCTCGCTCTACCCCGGCGCCGGCCAGCTCCTCTCCGCCGGTGGGCAACAACTGCAGAGCGCGACGTCGCCGACGGCGGGGCGGACGGTGTATATTGGGAACCTGCCGCCGAGCGCGAGCGTGGATGAGTTGTTGAATTTGGTGCATTTTGGGCCGTTGGAGAGTATTCGGGTGCGTTTTTTGACATCAAGTTTTTTATCCTTCCCTTGTCATCCTCCCGCTCTCACTTTCCCACCGCCCTTCATATCCTTCTTTCCGCCCTCACCTTCGCATCCGTCCTTGCTGTTTCCACCGTTGTCCGCCCTCCCCCGCCTTATCCCTTCGCTCTCCGCTCCTCACACTCCGTCACGTCCTCATTATCTATTCTCCCCATTTTGTCCACTTTGCGTTTCCTCCCTTCCTTACTCCGTCTTATCGTCCCCTCCGCCCTCACATTGTCCCTCTCCCTCGTCTATCGCCCTGCTTCGTCTTTCGCTCCTCTCTGCCCTTGCCATTATCCATCGCCCTCGTCTGTTTTACTGTATTCATCCTCCTCCCCTTCCCACTTCCCCCCTTCGTCTTCGTCCTTGTCCTCGTCCTTCTTCTCCCCTTCCCTTCCCCCCTTCCCGCCCAATCGATCTTTTGTTTGCTCTCCCACACGTATCGCCTCTTCTCCTCTCTTCCCTCCCCTTCCTGCCATCTCGTTCTCCACACCCATGCCCGTTATTTTCACCCTCCGCGTTTCTCACTCTCTCACCCTCCCTTTTCTTCCGCCGTCCGCTTCTTGTCTTTTCCTCCCCATCCTCCTCCCCCTTCTCCCCTTTCCTTTCCTTCCCCTCCCCTTTCCATTCTTATCGTCGCTTCCCTCCCTGCCCCACCCTCCCCATCCTCCTCCCTCCCCCTCCCCATCCTCACCCCTCCCCATCCCCATCCTCACCCCTTCCCCTCGCCTTCCTCTCCTCCCCCTCCCTCCTCGTCTCACCCTCCCCTCCTCCCTCACCCAATCTAACCTCCTTGCTCTCTTACCTCCCCTCCCTTCCC